TATACACACACACAGTCACTGCGGGAACACGCAGCACAGGTGCCTCTGCAGGTGCAGGGGGCGGGTGAGACAGTTATGTGGGGAACCGCTAGAAAACGAGGAATTTAAACTTTTTTTTTTTTTTAAATAACAACTGATCTGGACACGAGCTGTGCCTCCCTTATTTTCAAAGAGAAGAAAAAAAGGAAGGTTTAATGTCACTTTAAAAGCTACACTTAACAATCACATCAATTTACTTATGTAAAATCTAACAATAGTTAGAAAACTAACTGTAAGACTTTGCACACCTTTTTGTTTTGATACACTTGGAATATATTTAGCGGTTTTAAACTGAAAGTTAATTTGGGCTTTAAAGTGTAAATGGAGCATGGAGTGGGATTTTGACAAGTGGTTTGACAGCTTTATGCACAGTATCTTCCTGGATTGAGGACGATAGAAGACTTCCAGGGGGCATTCATTGCAGGGGACAGTACATTACAAGTCTAGGGGTGTAGTTACATTTTAAAGATTACCTGTACTGTGGAAGCTGTGCCAAAAAAAAAAGGCAAATGGAGGCCAAAGAACTAGTCACTAAGTATTGCAGCTGATCTCATGCCCATTACTGACGTACAATATGTTGTTCTCCATTGTGTATAAAATCCAATGAAAGTGCCTCTTCATCTGGCATGTCTGATGTAGAGATCCTGCTTGGCCTCAAAAAGTTGCACCGACACTGTTTGTGAGGTGATCACTTTAATAGACATTTGGGCTATAAATTACAGTTCAGTGGTGTGCTGGCGACATATGTTATCTTTGTGCCCACAATAATCAGGTTCAAGCTGAGTTTATTTCTGGACCAGGTTAGAAAATGACCTGGGTGGTAAGTTTAAGCAGTCACTTTTTAACCCCTTTCCACAGACTAGCCTCAGTAAGCAGAATTGTGCCGATGTAAGCAGGAACTATGAGCTGTTAGTACCCAAGTATTGAAAGTGGCTGCCTCCACTTTGTGTTGATGAATAAGTATCCTATAATAAATAGTCATTAATTGCAATTAAAATCATGCAATTAGGTGACACATCCATCAAAAGTGTAATCACAGCTTGTGAGTTTGGCAGATAGAGCGATGTTATTCATTTGGAACACAATATGTTGGACTACTCAGCAATAGTCACTGTTTTGCAGAAAACTGGTGCAATGGTTTAATCTACTGTGGGTTTTTAGCCATATGTCAGTCTGAAGCATCAGACGGCACCCGTGTCCCCCCTTCCCCGGCCATGTGTGAAAGTGGAATGATACACATCTGCTAAGTTTAAGTATGCGACACTCTGTGTGCCAAGATGACAGGCTCAAGCCGCTGAATGACAGGAACTCTCTGTGCCATGTGCTGAGGTATCATACTACTTGCTGACATGAATCTCTGCCCTTTTCACATTAGGAGCTGACCCAAGAGCACGATGAAAAGAAAGCACAATACGACAGCTGTGCGGCTGGCCTGGAAAGTAACTGCTCCAAGCTAGAGCAGGTATAATGTTGTAACCTATTCCTATAAACAAAGGCCCTCTATGCCTGAGCGCATGTGAAGCCGTTTTAACTTGCCTACATGTATTGTTTTTATATTTATTACAGGTATTTTTTTATGGCGCTGACGCAGAACTTTTACATACTATTCATTCATATTAGATAGATGTGATTGAGTATCACATCAGTGAAATTATATTTTAAAACTGTTTGTTCTTATCGGTTTGTTTATAGTCACTGGACTTTTTATTCAAAGGCCAAGCTAAGAAAATCCATTTTTTTTTTCATTTTTGAGTGGTTGGTTGTGAATTGAATCTCATACTATCTTTTTATATATCTCTTGGGGACTCCGCAGTCAAGATCTTCCTACCAGTTCCCAGTTCTGAACCCTCCACTGGGCTATTATGAATCAAAGTATTGGTGACTTGTTTCGTTCAGAATGTAGCGTAAAGGAGGAATTAATGAGGGACTGTGATATAGACTGAGACCACAATCTGAGCTAGATGTAAGCTACTGCATTGAGATTTGATCGCTGGTGCTTCAGAGATGTAATAAGCAATTAGATGACCAAACTTATAGTTACCCTCCCAAAACAATCATATATGTTTGGAGTAGATGACTTTTTGTATAATATGTAACATTTAACAAAATAATAAAGTGGACAATGCTTGGTTTTACAGTAACCCACTGCAGCCAATAACAGAACAGATGATGGCAGTATAGTCACCCTAATAAAACTTATTCCCATGTGTTTACAGCTGATAAATGCACATATCATACAGTATTGGTCTCTTTACTATATCTAAAGACTCTAGTTCCCACCTGTGAAACTTTATCATTTTTTAAATTCTAATTTGAAAAAGAACAATATTTTTTGGTCTTCAATAATACAGGTATTATTATGTATGCGTGGGCAAGGCATAATGGTAAATCATCTATATTCATTGCACATACAGTATATGATTTCAGTAAAAGGAACTTACTGATTTGCATATATTGTGTTATAAAACTTTAAAGCTACCCTGCATGCTAAATGTTGCCTGGCTCTAAGCACCAATTCGGTTTACACAGAGGAAGTTTTCATAGAACTATGTCTCTAAAGGCTGCATTTACACTGGAAGCACTGGGAAACGCCTGCTAAATTTGGCTGCAATTACTCTTTTAATTGAAATGGACTACAGGAGTTTAGCCCAGATCCCAGGCTAGCATTAGCAATTCCCCAACTGATTGAACAGGTTGTGTAGAATAGTGATTCAATTCTGTGGCCCATTGTATTTTTATTTCTATTCCTCACTATTATTCTGTTATAGGAAGTCCGAGGCCTTCAGGAAGAGTGCAGTCAAGCAGAAAGTCAATATCATTACATAAACATGATGATAAAGGTTAGAAAGTGTCTGTTTGTAAAATACTTTTCTGTTATGATGGACACATGTAGTTACCCTCTATTGTTTGACTAGATTGCTGAAGGGCAGATACAGCGTGCAGCAGATGAGATGAAAGCCTATGTCTCTCCAGATGCTCAGGAAAGGAAGAAAGCTCTCAGGTTTGTTTACTCATATCTGTTCATATTTTGGTTTTGGGTACATAAATTGACGGAACATTGTATAAATGGCTGTACTGTTAATGTGTTTTGGATACCATTTTGCTTAACGTGTTTAAATTTGAGTGTTCTGGCATATCAGTGTAAATATTTACTCTGATCAAATCTCTTTGTACATTAATAATAATGATAGCTTGGACTTTGTTCTATAAATAAAAGCCTTAAACAGGTTCTAGCATTGAAGGTACCATAAATTCTTAAACTAAAAGTACAGTATAGGGATAACATTTTTCTGCTGTATCGCTATAATAATACGATTACAAGTTTAAGAAGCAGATGTTGGCCCTTACGTATAAAAGTGTGTGAATCATCACTGGCTCCTGCCATCAATAAAGTGTTGTTCTCCGTAAAACATCTTTCCGTCTATGGCTATTCTATCGATAGCCGCACCTTCCTAACAACAAGTATATCACAGCACAGGCTGATCATAAGCAGTCCTCGGCTGTCCTGTTGAAGTAAGTGGAAGTTAGTTAGAGCTGTAAATTACTAAACAGCCTCCCTCTGCGTGCAAGTAATATTATTACTGCACTAAAAAATACAGGCTGGGAGTCTTTAGGCAATACTCTATAGTGACTCTGGGTAAATGCCATTTCTGACCTTTATATAAGTACCCCAGCACATAGCCTTTGCTTGAAGTGAACACCAGTGCAGGGCTATTACTGTTTTTTACTCTGGACCTCATTAGCATGGGGCTGTTGGTCTAGTTGATGAGTATGTGGCAAAAAAAATAAATTGAAAATGGTATATTTTACAAAAAGACCAACATTGTCATTTTTTTTTGTAACAAAATTTTTAGTAGTTTTTTTTTATAGAATATAAACAAGGCAGTTTACAAAGTATTTGAAATCACAAGGTGTTGGTCATACAGCGTAGCAAAATTGTTGAAGTGTGTATCAAAATTGTTGAAGTGTAAATGCAAATTCAAATACAGTTCCATCAACCTAATATAATACATTAAAAGGAAAGAAAATAGGAAAGAAACACAGAGGAGGTCCAGCAGATGGTTGGTTTCACGATTAGATTTGGTACAGGCCAGCAGTTCCATGCCCGGGTCCCCACAGGGTCTACCCTATTTCTGGTCATATAGCCAGCCCCGTCATAGGTATCGAAGGGTATGCGCATCCAAGTTAGGGTGCTGGGGTAATATCCAGGGTTCCCAGATAATTAAAAATTTAGTATGGCTATCAGGATGCATGCTAACCGTTCATTCAACATAATGTTGTCCATTCTCTGGGTAAATTCTCGGAAAGGGATAAATTGATTCTTCCAGTTCCCAGCTATGGTCAACTTTGCTGCAATGAATATTTGAGGCACCAGGAAACATTGGTTTCTAGGTAAGCCAGGTACCGATGCATGTAATAGGGTTTGCGTCGGGTTTTTAGGGACATGCTTACCAAACATTCGGGACAGCAATTGGTGAATTTTAGTCCAAAAGCAGGAAGCAAATGGACAAGTCCACCATATGTGTAACATGTCTGGGAGATGAGCACCCACGGAAACACTTATTGCATGAGGTGGGGAATAGATTCACGAGGCAGGGTGGGACTAGGTACCATCTGAATAGTACTTTATAGGCCACTTCCTAGTTGGTAACATTAAGCAAGGATTTAGAGATATTTCCCCACACCTTTTTCCAGTTGTCAATAGACCAGCTCCAGTTAAGATCCCTCACCCGTTTTTTTTAGGGTAAGAATGGAAGCCAAGCCTTGCCAGAGAATGCAGCCTAGAGTATAAGATTGATACTAACTTGGGTCACATGGGGAATAAAGGCAGAGCATTGTCATTTTTAAAGAATAAATGTTCACCAAGTGCGTAAATGTTTGCACATCATGGCCTATGAAGTTCAAACAGAGAGACAACTGAGGGGTTTAAACAGGGTTCATGGAATCTAATTAATAATCCAGCTGATCATAGACTTGGAAGACATATAATAGGAAAGTTCTACTGAAACATAGAACCCAGTGGGCCCTTTTTATCTGACTGTACAAATGAACATTGCGGTAATGCTACATTACAGTAGGATACACCTCTTCTAAACAATTACAGGTGGATACGATGTTTGTGTGTTCCAACTGGTCTCCAAATTCTATAATAGTTACAAAATGTGGGAACCCCTCATAATGCCCACAGCAGGGGGTGCAGATCCAAGAACTCAAGTGCAGAGGCTTCTCCATTACAGTCCCCAAGATATATGAGAAATCATGTGGTTTCAGCATGTACCAAAAAACATAGAGATATAATTTTTGAGTGCACTGTCTAATTAATCTGCATAGTGTATCTATAGAAGAATATTTTTAACTTTGTGTCTCATTTCCAAATCATTTTGTGTCTTGATTTGGTCTATGTTAAAGATTCACATAAGAGACAATTTCATGTCGCTTGCATAAACGCTTACTACACAAGCTGAGATCCATGGGCATAGATGGAATGGTGTGTACGTGGATAGAGAACTGGCCACAGGAACGTGTACAGAGAGTATCAATAAATGGCACCTTTTCAGACTGCTAGTGTCATGAGCGGTGTGCCTCAGGGTTCTGTGCTGGGACTCATGCTATTCAACCTGTTTATTAACGACATCAGGGAGCGTGTGAATAGCAATGTTTCAGTGTTTGCTCATGACACCAAAATCGGGAGGGTAATAGAAACGGACCTAGACAGTATAAAATTGCAGGAGGACCTGGATAGAATAGGGGAGTGAGCAATAATATGGCAGATGAGGTTTAATGTCGATTAAATGCAAAGTAATGCACTTTGGGATTAAAAATAGGCAAATTAGTTATACAATTATGGGCAAGTCAGAAATAGAAAAAGATTTGGGGGTCATTGTAGACCACAGACTGAATAATAGCTTGCAGTGCCAGGCTGCCGTAAGCAAAGCAAGTAGAGTCCTGTCCTATATTAAGAAGGGGATGTTTTGCAGGGACAGGTCTATAATTGTGCCACTTTACACATCACTGGTTCGGCCTCATCTGGAGTATGCGGTCCAGTTTTGGTCACCAGTCCACAGAAAGCATGTCCTTGAGCTGGAAAGAGTCCAGCGGAGGGCAACCAAACTTGTTTGGGGAATGAAGGACAAGAGCTATGAGACAAGGCTACTAAATTTAAATATGTTCTCGTTGGAAGTAAGGAGATTAAAGAGGGATATGATTTTCATGTACAAGATGTTCAATGGTCATAGCAACATTAGCCACAAACCCTTTACGATTAACTCCATAACAAAGATTAGAGGCCACCACCTAAAATTGGTGGAAAAAAATTCCAGCACAGGGGGAGAAGGAGGTTCTTCTCAGTTAGAGCGGTTAGGGTCAGGAACTCGCTGCCACAGGCAGTGATTTCAGCAAAGAGTGTGGAATCATTCAAGAAGCTTTTGGACGATTTCCTGAGGGACCGTAATATACAGGGGTACAGGTACTCTTAAGAATGAGATGACACAGAGACCTATACATATGCACACATCAGCAGAATCATACACATGTACGCAATAGATTGGACTTGATGGACTTATGACTTTTTCAATCTCAAATACTATGTTACTATGTAGTTATCAAGATTAAATTGATCTAATTTTTAATGTGACTTCACATTTTCCATTATTAAAATTAATCTATCATGTGAGCACTGACAGACTATGAACTGTGTATTTTGGTATCTAAATTTAGAACATTTTTGAATCTATGAGGCATTCTTTCCGCGGTGAGAATTATAAATAGTAATACAAGAAATCTAAATAATACCACAACAGATTGTCCGAACTACTTGTTCTAGTCACATTATACAACATAGATCTTCCTTGTTTTATTGTTGAAAACCTTGACCCCTGTGTCAGAAAACTACGGAACACAAGTGTAACAAGTACAAAAAGTAGAACAATTGCCATTTCCAACCTGCATTATTCCATTTGCCATTGTAATGCTGCATGTTACCGTGTTTCCCCGAAAATAAGACACTCTTATTTTTTTTTTGCACGAAATAAGACACTAGGTCTTATTTTTGGGGGATGTCTTACCTGGCTGGGGGAGGACTGGACGAGGTCCCGGAAGGCGGCGTGCTGTTGCCGGTCCTGGCGGATGTCGCTTCCATCGTGCGTGCGTGAGCTGCGGGCATGTGGGCGGGAGCTGCGGCTGGCGTGTGGGCGGGGCAGGAGCTGCAGCCGGCTGGCGTGTGGGCGGGGCAGGAGCTGCGGCCGGTCTTTACACTTAAAATTCAGTTATATGTGTAGCTACCCCGAAAATAAGACCTAGAGCTATCTTCAGGGATTTCTGTAATATAAGACCTACCCCGA